AGTTAGGGCACCTCCGATATAGATGATTATGATGAAAATATCGGTAGAACAAGATTCTTTTTTTTTATGATAATATAACCTGTAATTTTTAACAGTAACAGAAGATATGAAAGAACAGATTGAAAATGTAGTTTGTGCATTCACGTTCGATTTTATCATTTTTATTAGCTACAATCATTCATTATAATGCCTAGTTCAAGGTAGCAATTAATATTGTTGCTTTAAGAAAAAGCCAATCAATTATGTCATGCGTCATTAATGAATTATAAGACTTTTTAAAAGTAATCGTATTATTTTTATAGCAAAAAATATAAAACTTAACATTTACTGTACTTGAATGTCTTTCTCACGTTCATTTAATTTAAATTTAGGTATTTTAGTATTAATAACTAAAATACTGTGCATTAATGTTTCGCCTTTTTGATAAAAGGTTAATTAGGGTACAAGATATATTCCAAATAAACTAGTACATACTAGTTCATAGAGTTATCAATAGACATTAAACCGATACATATTATTTTTTCGAATAACTTGAACTCTAAACCTTCGGCCTATGGTTCTATAAATAATAAATTTTTAAAAAATCTAATAAAACATTTATAGTCATCATTTCTGTACTTCTGTAACATGAAGCATTATATAATTTTACGTGGCAGTCAATTTTTTATCGATATACAACATTTTTAATACAAAAATCTTATTATAAAGGTCATTATGTAGTTTAAAGATAAGAAAAGAGAAACTATATTTATAGACCAGACGATAATAGAAGCTTTTATGGGTTTTATAAACATCTAGGATATCTTTTTGTACTAATTAGGTCCATATTTTGTCTAAAAAGTGATACCATCTTTCTGAAATTCTAGAAGGCAATTGAAAACGCTTTATCTTCTTTTTTCTCTTTTCTATCACTACTATTTTTTACTTTTTTTCCTTTCTTATTCTTCTTTCATTATGTTTTCTCTTTTATTTCCTCATTTTCTTAACTAATTTGCATTTTTTCTTACTATTTAACTTCTTCCACTTCTCCTTTAACTGTAACCTTTATTTACACTAGGTAACAATATAAAAATCAAAAAGCGATTTAAGAAAGAAGAAATAAAAGTTGTAGAACCAGTGGCGGCTTGTCATAATTTAAAATGGGTGTTCAATTTTTATTATTTCCTTTATTTACCTAGTTTGCTAATATCTCAATATACAAATTTAGTAAAAATATACATACGAGGATGTATCAGAAAATAACGAGACTGGTGCTATAGTATAACAACGAAACATTTATTTAAAAAAATTCAACAACTATCCTTCGAAGTACTCTCCATTCTGTTGAATACACTTATTCCATCGCGTTATCCACTTATTGTCAGAAATTCGTTTTATGCCAATCCGGCGATCATTTTGTATAAAGTCGTTAATTTCTGCAATTTTTGTGTCATTTCTCGCAATTTGTGGTCGACCGGGACGAGGTTCATCTTCAACTGATTCACAACCGTCTTTAAACTTTTTATGCCACTCAAACACTCTACATCGTGATAAACTATTATCTAGATATGCACCTTTAATCATTTCAAAAGTTTCAGTTGGTGTTTTACCCAATCGAACACAAAATTTTATCGCGTATCTTTGCTCCACTTTCATTTTTCGATGGGTATGCAAAACACTGACAATTCAATAATTAATTTGTAACAAATGTAAAAAGTTAAATCAAAGCCTACTTGCGGGGTAGTACATTAAATATAAGGCTTTCATGTCTCATTTTTTGGGTTATAAAATGTTACCTCTGAAAGAAGTTATAGCACCAGTCTCGTTATATACTGATATATCCTCATATACATATAAGTTAAAACATAGATAATTTAGATACAATTAAAACTAACTAAAAGTTTATAGGTTGTTACTGTTTCTGGAGAAATATTCATCAATCAAGAAAACCGTGTTTGACTTTTGATTGGCATCCACCTCAAAGTTTCAAGCATTAGATTAATGAAAGTATATTTTGAACAAGATAATATTATTCGCATAGCCCTATTCTGCAGCTTCTGTAGTCGGTTCTACTCACTTTGATTTAGTAAAAAGAGTATTGTAGAGCAACAATTAAAGTGATATAGAATTATTATAGTATTATATATAATACATTTAGTCCACTGTGATAAGCCAAATAAACTTATAAATATGAAATTTAACTTAAATGCAATAGTTTTGATAACAGTGTTGTCATGATCTATGAATCTCATCTGCTTGTCAATCATTACCCCTAAGTATTTGAATTTTTCTACTAACTGTATAGAATGTCCTCCGATTGTTATATTATATTGTTTATCAACAAACAGTGTATAGTTATAGTTGGTTAGAATTAGACCTACAGGGTGTCCCAATAGTGTGTAGAAATTCGATATATCCTGTATTATAGAAAATATCAAACAATGTTATTTACAAAAGTTGTAGATAATATTAATCTGCACATTTCAAAATTATTTTCGATTATACAGAGTGATCCATAACTTCAGAATTGATCAAACCTATGTTTTTTTTAAAATGGACCACCCTGTATTTAATTGTAAATTTGAATTCCCCTGACTTTGCCTTTCAAGAAAATACCAACATGTATGAAGTTATACTGGGTATTTTGGAACTTTAAACCAATTTTATATGAAAATCGTACTAGGTTCAACCCTCTGTATATTTAAAAAAAAACAATCTAACATCAAAATTTTTTGATGAATCATTTTTAATGATAGTCTACTTTTATAGGAATATACTAATTTTTTCCTAGCGCAACAGACGTGTACAGAGTGAGTCAAAACTCAGATACATGATTTTCTCAATTTTTTTAAATGTAACACCCTGTATTTTATATCACTACTAAAAAGTACTCTAATTATACGTTCATTTGTGTTAAATATTGCCTATCACAACAGTTTGGCGAGATTCTTAGATGAAATGTTAAAAAGGGTTAACTATAACTAAATTCACAATGTAATTTGATTTAAACTCCTGTTAAATATTACATACTAGTTTCTAGTTAATCAGTTTATATTTTTAAGGTACCTGGTACAATTTTTTATCAACTGAATTTATTTTTTGGGACCTTTACAACTTTTTATATAAAATGCTATGAAAACACTAACAGAACTTCAAATTTTTTTGTGCATTAGGTCAAGTGGGCTTTGAAATTCATGTCAAAAGAATAATTTGACAGTTCCGAATTGTTTAAATAAAATAATAAAATTACGTTTAGTGTTCACAAGTATTTAAATTTATTGATTTGACTAATTTAAAAATGAATTTTGAAACGAATTAATTGACTGATATTATTTTAGTGCTAGGAGCTAGTGATTAAAATTGTTGTTGGCAACTAGAATTTATAAGCAAAAATATCCTGATCGCGACAACCTCGCAAAGAAATTTTTGAAAATCTGTTGGAAAGATTCAAATGTAGCATATCAAGAAAATGATAGAGAAAATCGAACTTTAAATGAACAAAATGAACTCAGTATTCTACTTAGTGTTACCGAAAATCCAAACACCGTACACGCATCATGGAAAATGAAACGGGAATAAGTAAACCATCTGTCAATAGGATACTATTAAAAAATAAAGTAAATCTATACCATATGCAACGTCATCAGGAGCTTCTTGAAAACGATTTTCAAAAAAGAATAGCTTTTTGTGAATAGGCAATAGAGAGAGAGCATTTATAATGAAAATTATTTTTTTGATTGTGTACTTTTTGGGGATGAATCAACATTTCACAAAAACGGTTTCGTCAATAGACACAATTTTTATTACTAGTCCATCACCAATCCTTATGAGTTAATGACACATAGCCAAACACGGTGGGAGTGGTATATTAGGGGACTTTGCTTCCTTTTATACTGTCAATAACTAAATAAGCAATTTTGACGCATTTATTTATGCAAGGAACGTAAATTATTTATCTCACTTCTAATTTTATAAATGGATGAACAAAAGCGAAAGTAACTATTATGCGTTTAGAAGGTAATTACATCCAATAAATAATTATAATCAACTAATGTAGTAAACTAGTAATTTAATACGTGCTGCTTATATTCGAGCTGTAACGGAAATATAATCTCACGATGATTGTAATTAAAAATGTCGATATTTTCGCAGAAGAATGTAATGATTGTGAAGACAGGCGTAAAAATATAAAAATTAATTAAATTGTAGTTGATGTTTCAATTTAAAAAAATATAATGGAGCAAAATCTGGCGCTCTAAGTGGCAACTTCGTAATTCTACACTCATTGTAATATGACGTAGGACTTGGGATGTTTATTACGACACGTCAGTTAACTTCCCTTGGTCGGGTCACTCTGACTGGGGCGCCTTTGATCCACCGTTGCCACATTTAGTAGATTTCTATTTCTTTAGTAATTTTCAGCTTTTTTGAATAGTTTTAGTACACAAATAAAACTTCCTACATAAATATTCATTGATTATCGATTAATCGGTCATAAAAAAAATATTAAAAAAAGACAGCGATATTGGCACTTGTAAAAGTTTTGATCCGAACTTACAAATTATAAAATTATTGGAAAAATTTTGAAGAGGTATAGGCTGATCTGTTCTATCGAGTGTGCTGAAAAAGATGACAGCTGTGCCGGAGTTGAAAATGATCCTGAAGAGTTATTGAAAGAGCTAAATGAACTGTTAGGAAATAAAGATATAGAAATAGGCAACTTATGAAAATTTGGAGATTAACTTTTTTGAAATTGACAGAAAAATTGCTTCAGATAGGGATGAGCAACAGATGCTAATAACTAATCTAATGAATGAAATTAAAATTTTAACAAAAAAAATATAGATATTAAAGCAGAACTGGAACTGAGTCAGAAACATTTGCTTGTAATGGAGAAACCTAAAGAGGAACTAACGAAAAGAGATTGTTAATTTCAATTAAAACCCTAGAAAAGGATGAAGAAACCTACGAAAACGAGTTGATGGATCTGAAATCGACACTTTGTTATCGAAAAAAACCAAATGACCACAAGAGTGTTTGACTTAGAGCCAGGAAAAAGCCTTTCAAAAATTGTATTAAATAAACGGGAAGTGCAAAGTACTTCTTCGAAAAACACATTAATATTAGGCGACGAAGCTGCTATTAACTTAAATAAATATATGAGACAGTCTCCTGGATTCAAAAGTTTCAATATTCAATCTATTATTAAACCAGGAGGGAATTTTGACAATGTACTGAAGAATGTAGCTGAATTAGTAAAAACATTTTCATTATCTGATTTTGTGATTGTGGTAGCAGGTGCTAATGATTTTCACATGTCCAGGGTCCCTAAATTCAGAAATATTTGTTCGAAACTGAAACTATGTACCCACACTAACTTTATAATGGTGTCTGTTCCAATTTTGAGAAGACACAGTGACAAAAACCTAATCAAGAAATTTAATTTGAAATTAGACCATTTTCTGGATAAGTTGGACAATTATACAGAAGGTAGAATGTTATATGTAAATATCAATTCTGAGCAAGGTGCCAAACTAAAACTGTCCGGTATCATACGAAAAATTAGTGTAGCAATAAGTAATAGCAAAAATGTCTGTAAAAATTTAAAATTTATTAACACTGTGAAATCTAAAAATACAAACTGTAACATGTCTACTAACTTGGGCTCTATAGATTTGACAGGTTTAAATAATTTTACTGTTCTTCCTATTAATAATAATAACTTGGACTCTGTAGATTTGACAGATTTAAATAATTTAATTCTTCTTCCTTTTGATAATAGTAACTTGGGTTCCATAGATTTGACAGGTGTAAATAATTTAACTGTTCCTCCTTTTGATAACGTATCTATCACACCCACAGTTAATAAGGATTTTCCCACAAAGTCTCAAACTCAAGATCCAAATTAAAAAGTACAATAAATATATTATATTTAAATGCTGAGAGCTTGGTGGCCCACATTGATGAAATCTCTAATTATGTGTTGTCAAAAAAAACCAAGTTTAGTGTTTCTGAAACTTACTTAACTGAGGATATTTATGATTCAGAAATATACATTGATGGATACAAAAATTATAGAGGTGACAGTGAAAGTAAGACATACATGCTTTAATTTATGTACAAAGTGAACTGAAGGTTTTAAAATATTTTTTTCACTACTAGCTTTAGAAGCTAACTTTATTGACTGATTTTCAGGTAGAAAAGTGGTTCATTAGTAACTTAGGGAGTACAGAGCCTACCTGATAACTATATACCTACTGTATTTTATGTAAATGATATCAGTTCATATTTTGACAGTTTTTGAGGTTAACTGAAATGCTCAAATGCAAATACAAAATGTAAAAATATTTTACTTACTTATTTAATGGTCATATCCACTATTCAAATAAAACCAATTCACTTTCAGATTTCATTCCACATTTTCATAAATATATAAAAGAGTTTTCAAATCAAAATAAAAATAAATCGATAAATAAATGGGTAACTTGTTGCCAAGGTTGTTCTTGTCACACCGATAGAACGGGAGTGACTGGTGACCCGTTCAAGATCCGGACGACATTATAAATTCAAAATTCAAATTTTATCAAAACACGTATAAACTGTAAATTCTATAGGTACTAAACTGACGTTTGTGTTTTACATTTGATTGTCACAAGCATGGATGATTTGATTTGAAAAAAAGTTTGAAATCGTTTTTATTAGTTTTAAAAACTTAATTTTTTTTAATTAAAATGCTAGTAGTGAAAAAAATAGTATATGAGCCACGGTAGAGAAGTGAGTTATTTTGTCGAGGTCCATTAATGACCGAGAAGGAAACAAAATTGTTTTAATTGTATTTTTATATAGGTCATCTAGCAGTAGCTGTATACATTTTTTAGATTGTTTTAGCACCTGGGCTGAAGAAAATTTATGTGATAATTCTCAAATAGTTATTGTTTCTGGAGATTTTAATATTGACCTGTTAACTAAAAACACTTACAGTGCGAAATTAAGTGCTATTTTGATTGTTACTGGATTAAAAAATATTGTTACAGAATGCACAAGACCAAATAGAAGTGGTGGAGGTACACTAATAGATTTAGTTATAACAAATAATGACTCGGTTTCAGCTGAGGTTATCAAAACGCCAATAATTTCAGATCATTTTATGCTTTTAACAAATGTGCTGTTAAATAGTGATGGACTATCTGTTTTTTGAAATTGAAAGCAAAGGTAAGGACTTAAATTTTGATTTAATTAATAACAAACTTTCAACATTAGAATGGAACTATCATATTAATGCAAAATATGATAATTTTGTAACAAATATTTTAAACGTATTAGATTTTGTAGCGCCAAAAAAACAAATAAAAATATTTCCTGAACACAAAAAATGGTGAAATAAAAATGTAAAAGCTGCCACAAGGTACAGAGACCTTGCATATAAAAATTATTCACAACAAAAAATAGAAAATAATTGGAATGAATACAATATGCATAGAAATAGGGCCGTTAACGGAATTAGAATAGAGAAAAATATTTACGAAAGTAGATGAAATTCAAAGGAAATGTAGAAATATCTTGAATGTCTGATTCCAAAAAATAATAAGTCGAATAACTTAATTGAACTTGAACTAGAAAACAATGTTATTATAAAAAATATTTTTGACATGCCAAATGCTCTTAATAAATTTTACATAGACAATATCCAATCGATTGCTAGTATGATTGATAATACCAGATTATCAAATTTTAGACAGACACAATGGATATTTTCTTGGAAAATTACAACTATGTACGGTGGATTCATTAAGAGACATTCTTTTTGCAATGAAAAATAAAAGTAGCACAGATGACATTAACATTAATAGTTTAAAAACTGTTTTCCCTACCTCTCAAAACCACTTTTAAATTTGATAAATTCGTCATTAGAAATTTCAAAAATACCTGCTCTAAAAATTGCTATGGTAGTGCCTGTTTCAAAGACAAAAAACGCAAATAAAGGTACAGATTTAAGGCCTATTAATATGTTAAGTTGTATCGAAAAAATCATTGAGAAGGTCGTTTATGAACAAATTGTTAATTTTTTAGAACACAATAAACTTATTACTAGAATTCAGAAGCAAACATAACTGTGAATCAGCTATCCAGTGTGTTTTATATGATTGGAAATATAAATTTGATAAAAATTATCTAACATTGGCAGTTTTTATAGATCTTCAAAGGGCATTCGAGACTGTTGATCAAAACCGTTTGATAAAAAAATTGAAAAGTATAGGTATAGTAGAGTAAGCATTGGAGTGGTGTGTGGATTATCTAAGTAAGAGGAAACAAAAGTTAAAAGTAAATAACATTTTGTCAGAGGAAATTAACTATATCAGAGGTATTCCGCAGGGAAGTATATTGGGTTCCCTCTTGTTTTTAGTGTATATCAATGACATTATTGATTTCAAGGATCAATGTGACATCCACCTGTTTGCTGATGATGCCCTAATATATTTTTCTTGTACGGATTCAGATAACTTGGTAAGAGTTGTTGATGAAACATTGTAACATGTTTATAAATGGTGTTGCAATAATTTGTTGAAAATTAACGAGGCACGATTTGACGTCTGGTCAAGACTTACAACTCCCGATCATAAAATGATAGAAAATATAATAAAAGGAACCGAATACTCCATATAGCCTGGCATTTTATTTGCATTTTAAAAACGCAAATGCTTCCGAAGTAAAACCTGGCTGGGCATCAACTGAAGAGTACCATTTACCCAAAGTCTTAGGATAAGGCAAGCAGTTGTTAAATTTAGTTCTAACAAAGTTATATGCTTTTGGGGAGAATAAATGCAATGTTACTGCAAAGGATGTTAATGAATGAGCAAACTTTTTACCTACTTTTTCTTTTGAGTTTTTTGAATAACTCTTTTATTAATTCCGATGTTTCCTCCAAAATGTTGCAATAAAATTTCTTCTTGTTTCTACAACATTAAATTATTTTTTTAACTCTGTTATTATGCACTTTAAAGATGAAATTTGTTTTTTCTGTCTCCAAATTTTCTTTTGCAATTTTCTAATTTTAACGTTTTTTATAATATCCTTATGCTGCAATTCACAAATCTACCTTTTTAAAATTCTTGTGCGGGATGTATCGACAGTTGTCTCACATGTTGATGACTTGCCTGGAGATAGTGAAGAAGTACGTAACCGAATGGATGTGGGGATCATAGCCAGGGTATCACTATATTTAGATGGTCTTGGTACAGCTGGGGTCCATTGATAACTATTTTTAAGAACTGAAATATATTTGTATCCTCATTCTTTACAGTTTTTGTGTGACCTGGGGTAGTATTCTCGAGTCACGAATATAGATTCGCATACGAGATTTATGATTTGTCTCACTTTGTTTTCGTTTTCGTTCGCTCTCGGCGGCCCTGCAATTCATTTCTCTCTATTCGGACCACTTTTAGGAAAGCTAAAATCAAATAAAATCTTGATTTTATTTAAAATATCTTTAATAAATTAATATTAAAAAAATACATTTTTTTCTTTGACGTGATAATGACATCAGGCGCATATTCTTTTGTCAATAAAACATAAAAAAATAATATAAGAGTAAAACAATAAAATAAAAAATAACTGAAATGGAGAATAATAAACAAATTAAAAATATTTTGGGGACGCCTATGGCTGCCTGAGACAACCTTGAAAGTAATCCAAAATTAAATCTTATAAAAAGTAAAATATCACTTAATCACTTGATTTAAGGACGAAAAATACTAAAAACCTTTGAACATAAAGCTAAAACACACCAAAACTACCTAATGTCATGAACGACTTGACAGCAATGACTCATACCTGGCCCTACAAGATGGCCACTTCCGTCGCACTTTTGTCATATTATAAATATGCACATCGCTCCTTCCTGGGGTTTTATATTCAAATATTACAACAAATCAAAAGGAAAAAATAATCACTAAACGAACACAAAAATTCGACGATGTTATCACGAGAGGCACAAAAAACGGAATGAATGTATGAGTCAGGGTAAGGGGCCAGTTTGGTTTGCATAATCTTTAAAATGTATCAAGATGTATGACTAACGCGATATTACAAAGTGAGAATTATACCGGAGAATAAGCGAAAACAAATTTCAAATTTGTGTCCATTAATCTGATTAGGAAGAGTGGTGTGTTAACTTTAGTCGTTTGTAAACAAAAAAGAGCAAAAATAAGCGGTTAGATACATAAAATTACAGGGCTAATAATAGAACCGTGAGAAACACCATCCATTCTCAGAAATATAGCTATTTGGCATAAAAAAACAAGTTCAATTATGGCACTATTTTAAAGAATTTAAAAAAATCTTTATATGTATTAATGTATAATTCTTGTATAGAGATATAAATTGTTTTCAATGCAATGATATTATTCCTTTGCCCAGTTTTTTGTTTAATTTTGATTAATATCGTTTACGTAAATATAGCCATTTTTATTCAAGGTTCACTTCAAAACATCATTTATCATTTTTATACAGTGAAGAATCGCTATGGTAACAGAGATTTATCTTAATAGCTGGGCCAAAAGTGCCTGCTGGTAACAACTATTGTGTTGATAAGCCGTAGAAATTTGTTTTCGCCGAATTTCCATGGCTGGGAGATACGAAGTAACATATTCACGTGATATTTGAGAAAATATAGAATGGGTTTTTCGTTAAAGTTTCTTACATAACATATTCTATAAGTCTGTTTTGTGGTAGGTAGAACAAATTTGTTTATTCATATATGATAATACCCCATGCAAGAGCGGCTCCAGGGGGCCATCCGAGATGAAAATTCTTATAATTTACTAGCCTTTTATTAAAAAAAAATTGTTAAAAATGGAATGGCTAAAGGCAATGCCCCTTCCCCAAAAATTCGTCTTGCCCCATGCGATAT